TAAAATCACATTTCCCTCCTTTGTTTGAGGTGTGGGCAGAGCTTCCAGAGAAATGTGGGCTTATATTATCAATATTATGCTTATAATCACTGCATAATATTGATAATATTATGAGAGCAGTGAATGTTTCCTCAGCAGGACATGGAAGGGAAGCGAGACAAGTAGGAAGGGCAGATAGAGCAGGATTTATGGACACCTCCAGCTGCCAGCCAGGACTGGAGTCTGTCAGAGATCCTGGGCCACATCTCTGAGCTCTGTGTGGGTGTCTAGGACACAGACGGACTCCCTGAGTGGGATTCACTTCCAAACTCAGATGCTGGGTTTTATTACCTTACTGTCTCTTGGAGTCCCGTTTCTACGTCCGTAAAAAAAGAACCCAACCAAATACTTGCTTTAAAGTAGTTTTCTTTCTTTAGAGTTAAATATCAAGGGCTGTATTAGATGTGTGTCCCTTCCAACATCTGGCACCTTCAGCATTTGAGAGTCTGGCCCACAGTTAAAGTCCTGGGTAAGTTCTTGTGTCCCTGAGCAGTGAGACAGGGAGACACCCCCACCACTCCACTTTGGACACCAACAGCTCAGGTGTCTTCCTTTGATCTGCTTTCTCCCCTTGGCCTCTGTAGCCACAAGAGAGAAAAGAGCAATTTCAGAGCACAAAAGTCAAAACTCATATTTTTTTTGATGTCCACTGGAAAGGGAGGTGATTCACACTTTGCAAGGGTTTTTTCTTTCCCCCAGGAGGTCGAGATGGTTGTACTGGAGACAGATGTTGACACTGTGGAGGCCTGGACAGAGATGGATTTTCCCTGGCAGCTTTGCCTGGTCACTGCTGTTCTGTTTTGTGCCTGCTGAGAAACAGTGGCTTTGAAAAGCTTGGGGGTGGCTTCTGTTGGGTGTCAGCAGCCAGATCTGAGGGGGGAGTTACACCTGACAAGAGTTTTCAGGAGGTCTTGTTCTCTCTGTCAGGTTGTGTCTGTATGACCAGCACTTCTGTGTCCTGAAACAAACCATAGTATATAGTG